TTCCTTCCGAGGAGTGGCTGGTGGGTTTGAACCGCCAGCCGTCTGGTTAGCAGGCAAGTGTCTTAGCCACTATGCTACCAGAGCTCCCACAAATATATGTAGCTGTTTTATTTACTAACGAAATTAGAAAATAACCTCAGAGTTGACATATTCACGGGGCATTTGAGGTCACCTCCATTACTATGGGACCCAGATTAGTTGAGGTGACTCAAGTTGGAGGAAAGATATTAGCCAGGAAATATTCAAAGGCTGATGTGACGGGGCTGTATCTCACAAAATGAAAACTGAATGAGTATATGTAACCTGTACTTACTTCAGGTTCCTTGTCCAGAAAAACCTCCACAGTTTAGGATTTCACATCTAAAGGGTGATTATCTCCAGAATGCAGTTAGTATTGGGACCATTTTTGGGGTTCTGAGCGTTAATGTAAAGGGATGTTGGTAACCAGACTCTGACTAAGATGATGAGAAAAAAAAAAACATACTGATTCATCAAACATTCAGCTATGTGCTGGATATCAAGGAGCTGTGATGGCGTAGTGCCTAAGGTATTTGACTGCTAACCAGAAGGTTGGTGGTTCAAACCCACCAGCTGCTCTGCAGAAGGAAGACTGGGCAGTCTACTTCTGTAAAGATTTACCGCCTGGAAAACCCAAAGGGGGTTGCTCTGAATCAAAATCGACTTGATGGCAATGGGTTGGTTGGACCAGTCTAGACAGCTGTGGTAGATGAAACTATAGTATTTTGAAGGCAGTCTGGTAGAGGGGGCGGGGACCAAACTCAATGCCATCGAGTGGATTTCTACTCATAGCGACCCCCTTTGGGTTTCCGAGGTGATAAATCTTTATGGAAGTGGCTTGCCCCATCTTCCTTCTGCAGAGTGGCTGGTAGGTTTGAACCAACAACCTTCTGGTTAGCAGTCAAATGCCTAAGACACGGTGCCACCAGAGCTCCTTGTGACAGAAGAAAGATGAGATTTATTCACTGTGGGCAAAATTAGTGAAAGGGTGATGTAGTGCTTAAGGCATTTGACTGCTAACCAGAAGGCTGGCGGTTCAAACCCGTCAACCACTCCTGGGAAGAAAGGTTGGGCACTACTTCTGTAGTGATACTGCCTCGGAAACCTAAGGAGAGGTCACTATGAGTCAGATCCAACTCTGCAGCAGTGAGTTAATTAGTTAGTTGGTTATAGACTCCAATACAAGGACACTTTTTTTTTTTTTTTTTTTTTAATTAAAGAATGCTTTCCTCAAACAAATGGATTGCCTTGGGTGGTAGCTTCTCTTAGAGATAAAAATGCAGAGTCTTGGTGATGGTAGATAGATCAGATAAACTAGGTAACAAATTTGCTTCCATAGCTAAAGATTATTTGAATTAGAGGTAACTTCTCTGTTAACAAATGGAATGTGAGATTTAAACACTTTTAGATGTTAAAGGTTTTGTTAGAAAGCATGTGCAGTAACTGGATGGAAAACTCCATAAGGGAATGTTGTTGGATGCTGTCCAGTCGGTTCTACCTCATAGCTACTCCATGTGACAGACTAGAAGTGCCCTATAAGGTTTTCTTAGCTATAATCTTTATGGAAGCAGATCAACAGATCTTTCTCCTCATGAGCTGCTGACTTTGAAGTGCCAGTCTTTTGGTTTGCAGCTGAGTGCTTAATCATTTGTGCCACCAGGGCTCTTTAATAGACTAATGAACATTATAAAGAAACATATAAATATTAGAAACAGCATAAAATTAAAGTTTTTCAAATCACTAAGTTTTTTTAAACATCTAAACCATCTTTTGTTCCTACTAGTTTATTGCTTTGGCTAAGCACTTGGCTGCTAACTGAAAGGTCCATGGTTCAAACTCAAGCTATTTTCCACGAGAGAAAACCTGGTGATCTGCTCCTGTGGCAGTTACAGCTTAGGAAACCCTGTTGGGCAGTTCTGCTCTTTCATATACCAAAAACCAAACTCACTACCGTCCAGTCACTTCAACTCATCATGACCCCTCCTTGGGTTTCCAAGGCGGTATCTTTACAGAAGTAGATTACCCAATCTTCCTTCTAAGGAGTGGCTGGTGTGTTTGAACTGCCAGCCTTCTGGTTAATAGTCAAATGCCTTAGACACTATGCCACCAGAGCTCCTGCTATATAGGGATTTCTTTAAATCAGAATTACCCGGAAGGCACACAAAGACAATTTATTGTGATAGAATTGCTGCAGTTACCATATTTTCCTATATAGCATGTAGGTGTAAATCTGAACACACACAGAGGAAACCAGCAAGGTAGGGTGTTGTGCAGGTTGAAACAAATCGTATAGTGCATGTGTTATTTGTGTTAAAATATGGTATGTAAAATTTTTTACTTTTTTCTTACTTCTTTTACATAAGTAATTTAAATCTTATTCCAACAACTCTATGATCTTATATTAACATGTCACAGTTTTCTTTTATTCATAACATAATAATTTGGTGGTAAGTAACTCTATACCAGTTGTCTTTTTTTTTTTTTCCCCTCCCCTTTGATTTATACCCTTGAAAGTGTAATCACTAAAGTGGTAATACTAGATCAAAAGGATATGATCATTTTGTAATATTTGTTACTTGTTAATAGCATACCTTCTTGATGAGTTGCATAAATAAACTGATGAGTTTTAAACATTAAGGGAAGAAAAAAGCTCTATTATTCCCATCTTAATCCAATGTAACCTGAATTACATAAGTTGATTCTGATGGTGACTAAATTTATATTTTCAGTTTTGTGTTTTCTATTGAGTGCAACTGAAGCAGCTTAGAAAGTATAATTGATTTAGTGGCTAGAAGATTTTAGAAGCTTACTTCTGTTTTTGAAGAGCCCTACTTTCAACAAATATTTAATTTCTACTAAAGACATTCAGGAAAATCAGAGTGGTGGGGGGCGGAAATGCATGGGAGGGAAAGACCCGGGAAGGCTTAACCATGGGGAGGAAGTGGGAAGAGAGCTGTGGGAAATTGCAGTCAATGTCATGAGACAAAATGTGTGTGACCTGCTGTGTGGAAAATGAATTGGCTCTGTAAACTTTCAACCAAAAAATAACAATACTTTTTTAAAAATAAAGACATTTAGGAAAATCAACTAAAACCTTTTTTTTTTTTAATTTTTTTTTTTTGTATATGTGTATGCACACAGTATTTTATGTTGTTACTGTTATTGCACTATTGGGTATGTAATAGTATTTACCTCTGTTGCCTTTAACTCTTGTGTTCCTCCCAGTGTCTTCTTTTGCCTTGATAGTTTTGTGCTGATCTCCCCCTTACCGTAAATTGCGTTTCTTTCCACTAACCCAAGTTAATATGTGTCTACCCTCTAATTAGTGATTCACCATCCCTTTACCCTCCCAACCCTGGTAACCATCAAAGAATGTTTTCTTTCTGAATGAAAACCTTTCTCTTTTTTTTTCTTTAATTTTGATTTGGGTGAAAATTTACAGAGCAAATTCACGTTCTATACAGCAGTTCACATATACTTTGTCTCATGACATTTACTACAAACTTTGTCTCATGACATTTACTATAATTTACCACAATGCAGCAGCTCCCCCCCTACTTCCTCCTGATAGTTAACCTCTTCCCTGTGTCCATCCCTCCATTTACTCCTGACCCCTGAGCTGTTTCCCTGTACATACACAGCCCTTCTATTCTCCCGTGATTGATGTCTTTAAGGAGGGTATCTACCTCAGGTAAATGTTCAACTCATATGCCTGTCTTTTGTCTGGTTGGAAGCCACAGGTGTGGGTTCAATTCTAGACCTGAAGGGCAGCTAGGGGCCATAGTCTGAGTGGTTCCACCAGGCTCTATCAGAGCAGCAAACCTAGTCCCCCTCCCCTTTATTTTCAAATGATTTTGAGTTTTGTTCCACATTGTTCTTGCTCTCTATCCAGGATCTCCTACATAGATCCCCCTCTGAGTGGTTGACAGTGTTAGCCGGGCACCATCTAGTGCTTCTGGTCTCATAATCGTTTAGGCTGCAGATCGCATGGTGTACCGTACCAGTCGCCAGGACTAATTGTTTCCATGAATCTTTGGTTTTCTTCATTTTTCTTTGCTCTGGACGAGGAGAAACCCATTGTTGCATCTAGATGGCTGCTTGCAAGCTTTTAAGATCCCAGTTGCTACTCACCAAAGTAGGAGGTGGAACAATGTTTTGTGTAGTATGTTATGACCACTGAGCTTGATGTTTCCTGCGACTATGGTCCCGAGTCCACCAGTTCAACTACTCAGTCCCTGTGGGTAGCTGGCTGTGACCAAGAAGTGGCTACAACCTTATTTCTTGTCAGCTCTACTAT